CCCCCAAAACCCCAAAACCCCAAAACCCCAAATTAATTCATATTTATTGAAATCAAATTGCTTTAAGGGCATTTCCTCTCAACCATAATTGCTCCATTCTCTTCATACTCTTGCTTTGAGAACCACATTTGTTGGAATGAGCCTAGGGAGCCTAGGATGGATCCTCCTGTGAATGAACTGGCTCAATACTCTGTTACACTTCCTGAATGAGAAGACGAAGCTTTAACTCTTAAATTCTGAGGAGCTATCTCAAGAAGTTCTTTCTGTAGTCTTGATAAAAATCCTTGAGTCATACAATTACCTCCAGTAGCAAGGATATTACTATAAAGTTCCTTTCTGATATCTAAATCTGCTTGGTTGATAGATTCTGTAATAGCATGTTGGACCCCTATGAATCCCTTTAGATGGCTATTATCTTCATCCATTTGAAAATCTCCTCCTGTTTTCTGGAGTTCTTGGTTGATTACATCAACACCTGAGAAGAATACCTCCGGGTAGAGACAGCGCTCTCCTCCAATTTCAAACTTTTTGCCGTCTGGGAGTTCATATTCAAATGACTTGATATTTTCCAGTTTCTTCTCTGCAATTGGTATATCACTGACGAGGGAACATTCTTCTTTGAAGAATCTAATAATCTTTTCGATGTGATAGTCTCTGTATGAATCAGTGAATCCAGTGACGTCTTTAGGAGTAATCTTAGTGTTTTCTCCATCAACTGTCTTTGTAAATGAGTATCTAGGGTTAACAGAGATTCCCTTATTCTTGAGATACTCATGAAGCTTGCTAGACACATAACTCCCTCCAATTTTGTACTTCAATGTTGACCCATTCAGGATGTATCCTTCAAATACAGGAGCTGCATATGTAGAGTTGTGACCAGAATCTAGGACCAAGCATGTTGATTTACCACAAGCAAAGGAAGAGAGTACCGCATTCTTACAAATGAATAAGCAAGGAACATTGCATTTTTCGAACAAGATCTCAGTCAACTTTAATCTATGATCTTTATTATGCATATTTGGCTCGGTAAATAAAAGTGGTGCTTCTGTAAGATCAAGCTGTAGGCTATTCTTGAGCTTGTTCTCTAAATAAACTTGGAACTTATCAAAATCTGTAATATACCCATCAGTATTAACAATAGGCTCGACTTCAAAATTCTTCCTTTCATAATCAATTTTAGGCTCGTCTGTAATAATTTCACCACTTCTGTCTCCTTCTTCTGTTATAATACCAATCTGTGAGGAGGTAATGCTCTGAGGTTGGTCCTCGCCTGCATATCCAAGTCTGGTAGTATGGGTACCTACATCCACAACCACACTTGACACATCATCGCCTGCGTACATCTTTAATGTTCAATTTTTTATTAAATAAATGGGGTTTTGGGGTTTTGGGGTTTTGGGGTTTTGGGG